CTTCTATCCTTAAAGCTAAAACAACCACTTTACAACTATCCGAGGAAATGTTAATTCTTAAAAACTCTGGTCTTTCTGCTTTCAGAATTGTACATTAATATTTTATAAGGTGTACTTGGTTGTAATTGAGTAATGGGCTTGATTAATTCCCATAGGCGTTTCATGTTTTATCTATTTCATATATAAGGCCCCACAACCTGTTCGTTTGATGGTTGATAGTACAATTGTGATAGTAAATCATCTGCTTACTCTTCATCAGGAATTAAATATTCCAAACCGCGCCATCCGTAAACTGCTAATTAAAATCTGCACTGAACGATTCTGTACATATTTTTTTCAGTATGTGTTAATTGTTTTTGCAATAATAAAAAAAAGTCAAACACATAAGTAGGTCCTGTAATTTTTTTTAAAAGATGTCAAAAAGTTGCCTGAAGAAAAATAAGGGAAAAAATAATAAATAAAGATCATAGGACAGTGATGTAATCTCCCTTAATTCGTTCCTCCTTGGGTAGCTGTACATTTGGTACAAGTGTCACTCCTTTTCTGGAATATACTATTTTGTTGTCTATGGACTTTCGATTATCTTAGTTATGCTGCATTTGTTTTGTTCAGTATTAATAAGGACAACTTTTTAGGCAAGATTTAATGCAATTTAGTTGATTGCTTATCCTTGTTTCCTTGATATTTCAGTTCTACTTCTCTTCATTCATCCGTTTCTTTTCAGAGCTGGGTTCCTCTCAAATACCATAGTGCAAGTAGTGAGATGGCTTTAAAGTACCTACAAAGAATGATGTCACAGGAAGAAGGCTCACAGATTGAATTTTCCATGAGCTCGTATGTATTTATATGCCACTGAATTCCATCATCAAAAGATGTTTAATTAAGTTATTCTACCCTTGGACATTATCTAAGCTTGTGTACTGATTTATTTCCTTTTACTTGGATATATATATTTTTAGGTATGACTATCTGAATAGCTTGTGTCCTGGCACTTCTAGTGACAGTTTCAGTTCCAAAGGGCCTCCAATAAGGTATCCAGATTTATTGCGGAAGATAGTTTGTAGATTTTTATCTTCTAGTTCATTTACAAGTATACAAGCTTGAAATTCTCTGATGCATATAGTGTGTGTATCTGTTGGTAATAAATATCTTTTATACATTCACTGGTCTATATTCACCTACATTTTTTTTTTCTGGCGCTGGCTAGTTACAGTTACAATGTCATTTTCGAGCATTGTGCTAAAAACATTTTATATTTATCATTTTTTTGTCATTATAATTGTGCAAGCATTACATCAACAAAAAAATAAAGTAAAACTCTAAATAAGCTAAATGAGTACCATGATCGAAAAAACCATGGCAGTTGATTAAAATGGAGAACTTTAACTCCTGAAATCAAATTTGAAACCCTTGTACCCGTTTCTTGAGATCTTTCACTAAATGGAATTCAATTTGAGATTATTTCATCAACCATGTTTCTTATGTGCTCTTTTGCATCTCATCATTGCTTGACCTGTAATGTGAATATGTGATAAAATTTGCTTCTCATACATGAAGTCATATTTAACTCTGCATTATCTTCTCAATGCGCTTAAACGTACGATTGTTTGGATGCTTTCTCCCGACTTTATCACATTCAACACGCCTACCGACAGTGTTCTTTTTTT